TAACGTACTTTAACTTGATTCCTATTTTGGGTAACATACTTTCAAAACTTTCATTTTGGTACCTATTGATAGAGCAAATTGCATGAAAAAGTAACATACTTTAACTTGATTCCTATTTTGGGAAACGTACTTTCAAAACTTTCATTTTGGTACCTAAGATGTAAAGTTTTAAACATTTAAGCACCCGGGTAAATAAAAAATATTATGTCAATATTATGTCAATAATCTTTGAAAAATTTATTTGAAAAATTATTGACATAATATTTTTTATTTTTAATTAAAATAAATTTCATCAATAATCTTTTTTAAATAAATACTTTTTTGATATATTTGTTTTTTATTTATAATGTAATTATTTTTTTGTTCAAAAAATGTTTAGGGACTTTATTGATCAAAATATAAATGTTCATTGGCTTTTTTATGTTTTTTTCATTATTTTACTACGTTAATTAGTTTTATAGGTCATAAGAATGTATCTAACAGTTTTAGAAAGTCTAATGAGTTGTTTAACAGGTTTTAAATTATCTAAAGACTTATTTGTTCAAAAAAATTCTTCAATAACTTAATCATTCCAAAAACTAAAATCCATTAAATTTTTTAAAACTTTACTTTTGTTTTTAATGCTAAACCAACTATTTTCACATTTAATATCCTCCACAACTCTACCAACACCACTCTTTCCCTTACACGATTAGATATCAATATAAATTATAACAATAAAACACATTAATTAATTTATGTATGATTTTAATGGTTTTTTTAGCAATGTATGTTCCAATGTCAAGAATAATACATCTATTTTTTTATAAAAATATTTATCAACTTATTATAAGTCAGAAGGGTTTAACTTCTTCAAAAACTTCTTATTACTGGTTTGACACATATATAAGTTGTTTATCCAAACATTCAAAAGTGTTTATTACCAGTACCACATCGAAATAAGTCAATAACTTGTTTTTATAAGCAATCTCAAACACCCCTAAAATTTGATTATGATTTTTTTAAAATAAAATTTGATTATGATTTTTTTAAAATAAAATTTAATTTCAACCGATAAAGAATTGAAGTTACCTTGGAAGAGAACAGCCATGGGGTTGCCATCTCCAAAACTGGTAATCCCGGTCCGGCCGGCCGTGCTCCTGACACGTCAGCTGCGGTTGTATATATGGACACTCCGATTCTTGATACAACGGCCGGTTCACCGGATCCCACACCCATTTCCCACTAAAAACATCACATCCATCCTCCTTCTCCCCAATCGAAAACGGCAGCTTCTTGTACTGCTTCTCTAATCAACCATAGAAACCCATCAAACAACCCCACCATTTTTTCATTCCGGCGAGTTTAAGAAAGAAGAGAACTTACCAGTTGTGGAAGGTGATGGGTTGGGATTGATACTGAGATTGAGATAGCCGACGTCTTGAGAGTAGAGAAAGATGGCGAAGAGGGTGAAGGCTAACAAGGAGAACAGATATGGAGATAACCGAGCTTTTCTGATAAGAATGGAGGTCGACGATGACAGCTTCATATTTCGTTTTTCTTTAATTTTAGAAATTGGTTGAATCAAGAGGAAGGAGGATGTTTATAACTTTTAAAAAAAAATATTTATAATAAGAATAATTAATGAGGAGGATATGATGATACGATGGTTTGAATTTAGGGTTTATTTAGATGGAAAAGTAAAAGCTTGTTTTAATTATGAACTAGTTATATATCTTCGTAAATTTTAATGATTTTGAAAATTTACTGGTTTTATTAGAGAAAATTTAACGATGATATAAATTACATTTGGTCTTTACATATTAATACAACTTGAATAAAAAAAAGTTATGGTTCTAATTATAGTTTATCGATGTAAAAAATTATATGATAGTTTAAAATCCAACATATTTAATCGACTCCACAAATGTGTTCGATTTGCATCAAGAACAAAGAATCAAGAGAGCTAGACCGAGAGTTTTATAGCAATTGAATGAGAGATTATTGAAAGAACTTTTAATAACTCATGATGAATATCAATTTGAATCTCACATTGGGGGATGAGGAGAAGACATAGAGGTATGAGAAGGTGAATACATGAGTGAAAAGTGTCAAAAGTATCTTGGGAACATGAAAAGAAAAAGTAATAATATGCATTGGTAATTTGTACTATATATCATTTTAATTGTAGATTAAGAGATTTTAAGACTAAATGCATAAAGTAGTAGTACTTAATGCATTATGAATTATTTTTAAAACTTTTAAAATTTTATGCATAAATGTATAATATTTTGTATGTTAAAAATTGTTTTTAAAATTTATAAAAAATCTGTTTGATAAAATAGTATAGATAAATAACTCAATATATATGGAATCCATATATTGTGTAGTGTATTTTAATATGCGTTGACCACTTAATATTTTGTGAACAACGATATAATTATAAAAATGGAATGTGTTGATTATTAATTAATTGATTAATCTAGAATCTATGATTTGATCGTGATTGCACTAATTTCAGGTAAAGGTAATAAAATATCCAAACACTCCTAATGCTATTTCAATTATTATGGTTTTTATTTTTGTCTTTTTATTATTATTATTTTTTGTTTTTGTAATTATTATCTTTTGTTTTATTGTTATTTTA